GAGTACTATTTCGAATAAAAAATAAGCGTCTAAGATGCAAGACTGTGTCGCTACCCCCCCCCCTCAGATATTTCAGACCTTCCCACCGGAAACTATAGTTTGACAAGTCGTTGGAATGCCTAATTTTATACTTATACTGTGTATTTTCTGTTTCATGACGTTTGGGGTTGCCAAGCTGTATCGTCGAAGAAGAAGTAGACTAATAATATATGTTGGACTTCTTTTCGAGAAGGAAAGTTAGTACTCTACTCATTTATTTTATACTTGCCGCGTTTGAGAATCTATATCGGATGCATTTTTAACATCTCAAGCCGTTTTTATCCCCATCGGACACATCTGTTCCATTACATTTACGTATACTGAATGACATGATCAAAGATTTACTACATCTCAGATGCATCCGATGTGGATTCTCAAACGCGACATATACTGTGTATTTTCTATTTCATGACGTTAGGGGGTTGCAAACCTGTATCGTAGATGTTGGACTTATTAAAAAATAAAGTATTCCTTGGACTTATAATTTTTTATTAATCCATTTATTTTAATGAGATTGTACTTATACTGTCTTTCTTTTTTCACAGCTAAAGTTCTTCACAAAATGATGGACAGTGTTGTATCCTGGAATATGTAGCAGCCATCCAGCTACTTCATACATAATACAATTTTTTAAATATTGGATTTGTATTATATATATTCTTTAATAAATTTATTTTTTGAATATGCTTGTTCTTTTTATCTAAAAACTGTTAGCCAAATTAAGATTTGTTCACACAAACTGCATTTTTGCTTTATTATAGCGATATTCGCTATAATAAAGCAAAAATGCAATTTGTGTGAACAAATCTTAATTTGGCTAACAGTTTTTAATGCGGATAATTTTTACTGTCAAATTTGAATAGCCTCGCGCTTTTCTTCTCTTCTTCTTTTTATTATTTTCTATTCTTTCATATGGCCTCTTACCAGACAAGGACTTAATTGAAAAAAAATTAACCACGTCCACCAGGTGCCGCTGAAAACTCTATCATCCTTTTTTAACATGGGAGATACCGTTCTAAGAGTAAGTGTTCTGTGTCCACGACACTTCTCGATCGTGTCGCACCGTGCGAAATGTGTTTCATATAATTGTATGTATTTTAAATGTGAAGCGACACTTCCGGTCGTGTCGGCGGTCGTATGTCGCGTCGACGGTCGTCTGTCGCGCCTACCTAAATGGTACCTTTAGTGTTGTGCATTTTTGTTTTTATATTATATTTTGTCTCGATATTAGAATTTAAAACAAAAAATTTCATTTATGAATATTTTGTTTGTTTCTTTTCCTTTGAATTTTAACTTATGTTATCTATCTTTGTTAATAAGAATGTATGTAATTAATTCTTCAACAATAAATAATTTTGAATCGATTTAAATAAACTTGTGTATAATGTTAACAAATGCTGAACAATAAAATTAAGGTGAAATGAATTATTAACAGTATATTTTGTTAGTGGCCAATTTTCTTAAATAATCACTTTGAAAGTATGTAGTAACTTTTATAGATTATAATTGTAATAATTTAATTTTAAATTAGTCATCAAACATGGCCATCAATAACTTGTATGGTTGGATGCTGGTAAACCGCTTTATGTATTTAATAAATAGAAACACTTGGCAAAACATACTTTATTTTAATAAAAAGCACAGAAGTGTTATTTTAAACTGGTTTATTTATGTTTAATAATGTTTATGAATGGTTGATACATAATGTTTACTTCTTTATCTTGCTTAACACTATAATGTATATTTCTTGTTCTAAATTTAAACATTTAGCCCAGTCTCTTAAGGTAGTAACCCCAGGTAAAGGATAATAAACAGTTCTTAAAAATCTATTAGGACTAATGTTTCTTAGGGACATCCGAACTCCAACGAATTCGCTTTTTATTTTAATTGCATAAAACATTATTTGAATCGGAGTGAAACATTTACTTTACTTTCCTGAATTTCCACTTGAGAATTATTTTTCAACTAAAATAATAATTTCATTTCGGTAGTCACATCTGAAACAATAACATACGGTTAATATTGAAATAAAAGCAATTATCACTTCAAAGTTTAATATTTAATTAAACAATTGTTTTGAAATGATTGTAATGGTAATTAGTACATGCTAAGTTGTGTAATTTTCTTTTCAAAGCCACATTTTTTGTTAATAAGGTAAATTTGTGCATACGTTTTTAGTTCTGATGATACCAATACATTTTGAGTGTCTATTTCCAAACTTTGATTCTCCTTGTCCTGGTCTGCAGTTGCCAATTGTCTGGAATGTCTCGAAATATTAACAAAGCTGTTAATAAATGTTTGCCGATATCTTTTTACCTGCCTTCTTAATCTATCGTCACTTTCTGAAGACAATTGTCTTTTTTTCACTGGGAGATTTTCAGTAGGAAATGCTGTTTGTTTTAAGTTTCTGCCAGTTTTAGGTGAGTAGTTTAATAGCCTCTGCTGTAAGGGTATTTCAAAACTATCCTTCTAAAAATGTATGAAACAAATACAAGCTTAATAAAAGAAACAAAACCAAATGAATCATATTCAAATTAGGTTTGTAAATATTGCATTCTTCCGCAAGCGTTGGCTACATCTGTTTTCGGAAATCCAAAATACTTAATATTTGTTCCCTTTATTTTTCGTGAATAGTTCTTGCAACACTGCACAACCTGGCATTTTGTTAGTAACTACACTTTCTAAAATATAGTAGATTTTAATGTACCAATAATATAATAATAATAATAATATTAATGATATAATAAAATAAAAATAATGAATAGAAACTATTTTTTTATCTTTAAAATATAACAGAAATGTTACATAACCTAACTTTATATCAATTACACTACCAATTTAATTAGAAATTAATTGAATAATACGTACCAATAATTACTAAAAAGGCCTGTTGATATATAGAAATGATATTAAATATTAGGATAAACATATCTATAAAGTTCTAAACACTACCAAGAAAATATTAGAATAACTTTAAAAGTTGCTTTTTAACATTCCAGACATAGGCAAAACAAAAATATATGCTTCGAAAATGACGTCATGCGCAAGAATGACCAAATTTCGTACCGCTTACCGCTTACCGCTTCACCTGTATTCTTACACCATGTATAGGACCAAAACTATAGGCATAAGCAACTTTTATCATGATTCCTATACTTTCCTTATCTGTAAACAGAAAGGAAAGCAAAAAATTGCCGTGACAGTAGATATTTTCACAGGCAAACCATTTTCGGTATATTTATAAGCTAAGAAAAAACTTTCATCCGTTGTTTTATGTTTTCCAAAATTAATTTTTTCTCCTGAGATCATTTATAATTTCATAATTAAACCAAGGAGGGTAATGCCTGTTCGTGACCCTTTTTTTTGATACATTATTTTCAAATATTACGGTTAATTTATTATAAAATAGATTTAGAGCTTTGTTAACATTAATACTTAAAAATGACAAATCGAAATTAACTAGACACTCGTAGAGACTAGGGAAATGTGCTTTTTTAAAATGAAACCCAGTTGTTGAGGCCGGAGAGAGATTTTTTGAGGCTGAAATGGTATCTCAATGATTAGAGGTGAATAAGGTATATTAGAATATTTAAGGCGTTTTTACGTTGCATTCTGTAATATTAGATAGAATGAGATCTAAAATGCGATTAAGTTCATTTACTTCCGTATTAAATTGGGTTAAGCTGTAGAAGTCTTAAAAATTTTGAAGTGCTACAATTTTTCTAGTTGAATTTAATTGAGACTCATTTATATGAGATGCATATTCCGTTATGTTAAAGTCACCAAGAATTAATAGATTATGTCATCCAAAAGAATTTCAAATTCTTCATTAGTTATATTAGGCAGAACATATAATTTTAAAATATATAGATACACATTATCGAGTCGGTGGTGTAGCAGTCTAACGCGCCTATATTCATTTATAGGCAAGTTTATGGTCCGAGACTGCCGGGCTTCGAATCCAAGACCAGACCATGTGGATTTTTAATTAAATTACATGGTTCGGTATAGGATTTGATGTGTGCCGTATTAATAGAAATTCAATTTCTGTTGATATGACATGCAGATCATAAAATCGCCATGCATTACCGTCTCGATGATGATGGGTGGGGTTTTCCGGGTTTTTCTCACCTGTAAGTCAAATGGCACCATCAATCATCTTTAAGTCGCCCCGGAGCGCCACGGCAAATAATAATAATAGTTGTCCCTTTCCCCGCACAAGCTCAGCTTTTGGGGTTAAAATTCACTCGTAAGGGAGTGAATTAGGGAGAGTATTATTATTATTATTACATTGTCATATTTAATTTTCACGAAAATGATATCAATATTAATTAGATAACGAAGAAAATTATACAAGCTTAAATGATTAAATAATGCCGATAAATGTTTTTTTTAAAGCTAGCAAACATCCTCCCCCCTGAAACTATTAGTTAAAGAATAACGTCTGTCTGTTCGAAATATATCATATATTATGGCATCAATTATTTCAAAATCTGTAATTAAGTCGTTGTCTCAGTTAATGCTAATATATCATATTCGGATGATATTGTAGAATTGATATAAAGTTCTCGAGGTTTTCGATAATAACATGTAACTGTAGGAACCCATAATGATTTAGAAACATTTTTTAGTGACTGGTCGCTATGAAACTGAGACAATGCTTGATTTAAATTTGGCCAGTGATTCTTTGTATACATAACAATCATTATTATCTAGAGTTGTATGATTAGCCGAAACTTGATTATTATTAGTTTTATTGCAGTTGTGACAATTAATGCAATACTCGCTAGTTTTTGGACATTCTCTTAGCTCATAGTTCTGTGAACAGAACGGACATATGAAAATAGTTGATTTACAATTCTTTGAGAAGTGATGGTATTCACTACATTTAAAGCAACGTCTCAAATAAATAGCATAATAAATTATACAATAATCAGAACAGATGATTAATTTTTCTTGTGCTAATACATTTTTTTATAAGTAGATATATCACACTGGACAACTACCTGATACAGTTTCTTATTTTTATTTAGAGGAACATTAGAAATAATTTTAAGATCACCGGATACTTCCTTTTTATTTTGATTTTTCAGGTAATTTATAAGATCCTCATCACACAGTTTTCCAGATATTCCAACAATTTTAAATTTAGGGTTTAACACTGACACTTCTTTGATAGTATACTTGTTTCCAAGATGTTCATCCACCATCTTTTTTAATTTATGACAGTCTTCTGATTTTTTGCAACTCACCATAAGACCGCCATCTTTAACGTTAACTGCTTTGGTCGAATTTAGATTTGTGGAAATAGGATTTATACTCTTAACCATATCATTTTTGGTAGCAAGGGAATCTTGTTTATTCTTTGGTTTAATTATATAAGAAGGCTGATTTTGAAGAGCCTCGGAGAACAAAGAAGGTGGAGAACTAGTGGACGGGCCACTCGTACAAGTGGAAGCATTAGTTTGCACCTTCTGTAGGACCTTTTGATTGAGTTCCGATTTTAATGCCTCTATATATTGGAATAGTTCATCTATCTTTTTTTAATTTTGTCTGAATTAGATCCTTTACTATATTGACGTAATCATTGATCGAGGTTAGTTTATCACCCTTGTAAAAAATAATATTTATTACAGGACACCTACCCGGTGATATTAATTGGAAAACTGCAGAGATAATTCAAAATATATTATCGAAAATACAACTTCCTTTCTAAATGACAAATACTTAAAAACTAACATGACATTATTCAAAAAATATTAAAACTATCGTTAAAACACCAATTGTTTGATATACAGGAGGTTCTCCCGTATAACAGACTTCGTTTTAACATCCTCCCACCTTGATTGATAATAATAAACTAATAACAAAATAACTAATATTACTAGTACGTACTTGTTCATAGCTACATTCCTACCTACCAAACGAAGGTGTTTGAAAAATAAACACAAACTTTTATCCAGCCACAACGGCATGTCACGTAAAATTTAAAAATAGTTAATAATAACAACAAAAAAGTAACGCACTTTCATGAACATAAACATTGAAATATAAAAAGGCACGTTTAATGAGAAGGCTGACACTCAGACTCATCGATAATTTTTTTAATGTTTGCCGTATAATTTGATACAGCCATTCGAATACAATTATCCAAATGTTCATCTGTAAGTCGATTGCGATATTTGTTCTAAATAAACTTCATATTGGAAAAAGAAGATTCACACAAATAGGTTGAACTGAATAATGCTTTCACTTTCAAGGCAACACGGCATAGAATTAAATATTTGTCTTTACTTACAATAGATACATTTGGTACTTGAGACTAACGATTTTAAGGCTAAATCATTTTGAGACTCAATTACTTCCATTTCTGTTGCAACGATGTCTTCGCCAAAGTTCTGCATAACACAAGTTGCAAACTGTTGGATATCAATTTCCACAAAGGGTGAAACAAAAAACTGCGCTACTAAAGCCATTTCGTTAAAATCCTTAAAACGATTTTTGAAGTTATTCTTCAGGGTAGAAATTATTTCTACATGATATTTGCTGTCATAGGGTTCTAATGGATTTTGAGATATTTTTTCTAAAAGAATAGGAAAATGCTTGGCATTGCTGTTAATTAGGTTTTGTTCCCAAAACTCCAGCTTTTTGATAAATGCTTTTATATCAGAAATTATTTCCTCTAGTTTTTTGTCTCTCCCATGAAGCTGCAAATTAAGTTTGTTTAATTTCTCTGTAATGTCCACGGGAAAACCAAAATCTCTAAGCCAGATTGAATTTTCTAGTTCCGGAGTCGGTTCAACGCGTTGTTTGAAAAATTGAACTATGCCAGATAGGACATCATTAAAACGTTTCAGCACCCGTCCTTTACTTAATCATCGGACTTCAGAGTGAAGGAGTAGGTCCCCGTATTGACAGTCAACTTCATCGGCCTAGGTTTTGAATAATCTTCTTTGTAACGCTTGAGCTCTAATCTTGTTCACAATTTTTACCACCAGTTTCATAACGTTGTTTAGTTTCAGGAAATTTCCACATAATGCTTGCTGATGGATAATGCAGTGGTAACAGAGAAATTGCGGAAAAGTTTCATCTTTACGACATAACGCCACCAGACCCTTATCACAACCCACCATAGCTGGAGCGCCATCGGTTGTTAAGCCTACCATTTTCGATATTGGAATTTTCTCGGAAGAAATAATATTTTTTAAATAAGAAAACAACTCCTGTCCAGTAGTGTGTCCTTTCAGTGGAATAAACTTCAAAAGATCTTCTTTAATCGTAAAATCACTAAAAACCATCCTGACGAATACGGCCATCTGGGCAGTGTCAAAGACATCTGTTGATTCATCCAGTTGAAGTGAAAAATAAACACAGTTATCCAAGTCAGTTCTTAACTGTAAAAAAAATATCATTGCTCATTACTTCTACACGTCTCATCACTGTATTAGCAGAAAGTTGCATATATTTTATAGCTGAAACTATCTCGTCTTTATTTCTAAAGTTGGCAAATAACGAATCAGCAGCTTCTAAAAACGCCTGTTTTATCATTTCCCCGTCTCTTTTTTTGTGCAATTATCTGGGACATACGATACGATGCTTCAGTTGCAGCCTTATTTTTGTCGACTGTTCTTAAAAATATTGATTGTTGTCCAATTAACTGCTTTTTTAACTGTTTCAGTTTCTCCTTTCTGGCGGCAGAATGTAGTGGGAATGATTTTTCAAAATTAGAATGTACAGTTTTATGATGTCTCTCAATATTTCCTTTTTTAGCAACGGAGACCGAAGTATTACATAACAAACACACATTTTTATTTTTAACTTCTGTAAAAAAGTATTGTTCTTCCCATTCCGAATGAAAGTGGTATGTCTTTACCTTCTTACAACTGCTTGCCATAATATTATTTTTTGTTGTTCTCTACTAACCCAACCGCTGGACGTTGGTTACGCGTTTAGTTTTAAACTAAGCGCAATGTCGCCGCGTCGTGCGTATTTATCCCGTTCAAAGCAATTCTGATCGTTCTCGAACACTAACGCGCTGGTCCGGCTGGTGGGTTCTAGCCGATTCTAGCTTGATGGCGTCAGCGGCAGATCGGTCACCGCAACGTTGGCGCTGTTTATGTTTAATATTATGACAATTAGATTTTTTTGTGGAATTTTCGGAAGCTTCTCTGATTTTTGCAGTTTGTATTTTTTACATTAAAATCGTTGTTAGAGCTACCAGAATTGCCTCCGTGAGCTACCGGTAGCTCGCGATCGACAGGTTGGCGACCACTGTTCTAACGTATCAGCCCTCGGTCTTGCGTGTATCGTTTGAGAGCGCAAGGTACACGGTGTCTCAGATAATTTTCGTTTTTCTTTGTTATTCATTTTGGATTAAAATGGGCGGTAAAAATATTTGTTGTGTGGACGGTTGCGAAAATCGGTTACAAGGCGGACTGTCATTTTTTAGATACCCCAAAGATCAACCACTTTATTGAGATAAAAAAATATTTTAATATTTAAATCTACAAGTGGAAAATTACATAATTAAATAATAATCCATTTGTTTACAAAACATTTGCCTTTTCTCAAACAATATAAAAATGTTTTATATGTGCCATATTTTGAAAAACACTCATTTTACGCCAGAACAATGTTACAACTCTATTAGAATTTTTGCTTTGCATTTCTATGAAGATAGTTTTGCCAACTCTTCTGTAATAATTGGCATTATTATTTGAAAAATATTAAGAATTTACCAAACATTCTAAAAAAAGTATTTTTAATGTTTTAAATTAAAAATTATAAAGGAAACACGTATTGTAATATCGTCAACAATTAGGTTATTAATCTAGTCAATGGCTTACATTGAACTAGAGAATTCAAGGTAGAGCATTGAAATTTTTAGAAACAAAACTCTCACGTAAATTTTGGGTTTATATAGAGAGACTAGACAAAAAAAAAGAACTTCGAGTGGGGACTTAGGTCCAGACTAGCCGAAAGGCGAGAGCTCTCATTTCCAAAATAAAGTAATGTGTAAAGTTCTTGTGCAGCGCTTTGTGAATATGGGTAAATATCTTTAACTTACTTTATTGTGCTTTGTTTGAGATGATAAACTGATTTACATATAAATGCCAATTTTATATTTTCGTCCCGAGTATTTTATTTATCTTATACATATTTTATATTATTATATAATTAAAGTTTCCGGTATTATTTTAATTGTTAATAAGTCCAAACTATATACCTGATTCAATAGCAAGTTTATCTAGTTGTCATAAATCTTTTACTAAAAGTTAGGATCAGTGGCGGCTTGTGGTAATTTGAAATGGGTGTTCACTTTTTCCAATACTTTTATCATTTTTGTAAGTTCGGTCCAAAACTTTGTAGAAGAGCCAATATCGCTGTTTTTTTTGATTATTTGAGTTTGTATTAAATGTAGTTATTATCAACATCATACTATTTTCAAGCACTATAACTATTAATAAATAAATATTTTAGTTAGTGTGATATTTGTTTTGTTTTTAATACATTGAAAACCACCTATAAACATTATTAGTTAGTAAACTGACTTTTGTTCATAATTTGAGATTATTTTTAAATATATGTATATAAGGTTATGTAGAAAGCTTGACATTGATTTTTGTGTAAAAAATATTATATGAAACTTTACCTACCATTTTTCAGTTTTAATTGTAAATTTAATCATTTTCACAATTTGTCACAGATGTCAAATAAAAAATGTTTTTTAAATACCTTTTAAAATAATAACTTTTAAATAAAATAAGAACTAAAATGTTTTAAATGTTTATTTTATGAGATCAGTCCCATCACAATACATACTATTACACAAATAAAAACTAGAATAAAGATATATAATGCCTGGAATTCTAAATGATACTCTTCGCAGTTTAACAGACTCCCTTAACTACCCATTTTCTACCAGATTGTTTTCACAATCAATAGGCCTCATCTCCTTATAGGGCTTGATTTTTACTAAAAATTTCATGTTGATATCGCTTTTCATTTTTGTCTTTTTGTTTTTAATTTTAATTTCAACCCCCCCCTTAAATCCCCCATATTTAATTAGATTTTTTTATAATTAAAGGCAGTAGCGGCTCGTTATAATTTAAAAAGGGTGTCCACAAAAAAAAATATAATTTACACAATGTCGGGTACAATATTAATTCCTCGATTAATACAGTGCAAGAAAGAAACGTCAAGTTTAAATTATAGAAATAATGCAAAAACATGCTTACCTAATATAATGAGTGTCAGGCTTTTGCTCGGTTCATTAGGTAGTTCAGTAGTTTAATAATAATAATAAAAGTGTTTTTTAATTTTTGCTGATAAATGAGATGAATCCCTAACACCCGTTTTTGTCCTTTCTGATTTAGTATTTTCATTGTTTGCAAAAACTAAACAAGGAAAACAAAACAAAACAAAACAAAGCATGTTGTTTATCACACCCGCATAACCACGAAGTTTTTTATATATTGTTCAATCTTAAAAGTATGTTTAAACTTTCTATTTCTTATGGCACATTCTTGAACAATGTTTATCTCCGATCGAGGTGCATTATTCTTTTTTATAAGCACTCGAAATTATGTTTATTTGTTTTTATAAATTTCACCAAATACGATTCCATCGTACATATGCCGCGTTTGAGAATCCACATCGGATACATTTATTAC